AACTCAAATTTCATTTAAATATTTTACTCATTATAATATGAATAACAAATATTAATCCGCGGTATGAAAATTATTGAACGTTTTTTAATGTCTAACACACAAAACAAGTGGTACTCATGTATACAAAGAATATTCAAGAATATTCTGTAACATATCTATGGTTTGGTATAACAACCGACAAAAAAAATTACCTCCGATTTTATCGATGGCGGTATCGCTTAGTTTGGAGATACAGCCCATTTCGATGGCAGTCTCATCGTAATGGTAGCGCTGTTTCGGCGCAAACATGACCCGGATATATGTCCGCAGGAGTGGACAGAGAGAAGGGAACGGATCTAATCATCGGTATGGAAGCGATCGCCAAACATGACTTCAACGCCACCGCCGATGACGAGCTTAGCTTTAGACGGGGCGAAGTGCTTAAGGTATGTCCGCCACACACGCCGTCTATCCGATGATATTAATGACATGACATGTCTGACCATCAGGTGCTCAATATGGAAGACGACACCAATTGGTTTCGGGCCGAACTCGACGGTCGCGAAGGACTTATACCCAGCAATTATATCGAAATGAAACCTCACGAGTAAATGCCCGACAATTAATTATTTCAATTAAATCTATCGCTTTGTTAAATGTGTATTTGTGTACAAATATATGCCAATTGCGTGGAAATTGGTGTTATATTTCTACACAAACATCACTTGCAGAGTATGTCAAAAGACAATTGAATTAACAAACGATGTGTTAATCTCTCCACAGCTGGTATTACGGGCGCATTACCCGCGCGGACGCCGAGAAGCTGTTGTTAAACAAACACGAGGGCGCTTTCCTCATCAGAGTTAGCGAGAGCTCTCCCGGAGACTTCTCCCTATCCGTCAAGTAATTGCCCGTTCATTACACGCCTTAACGCCCACTGAATACACCGCTATTGGATATTACGTGACCACTCGGACCGCCGGGAGATGTCATAGTAAATGTATATGTAATTTATACGTCATCTCTCACTCCCGGAGTCCTGAGAAAAGTGTGTTTACGTGATATCCGATTGCATTCACCGGTGTTTACGTGTGTATAGGATTGTATTGTTTGATGAGTATTAATGGTGTGGTTGTGTTGTTGATAATTAGGTGCGGGGATGGCGTCCAGCACTTCAAAGTGTTGAGAGACACGATCGGAAAGTTCTTCCTATGGGTCGTGAAGTTTAATTCGCTGAACGAATTGGTAGAATACCATCGAAGCGCGTCTGTGAGCCGTTCGCAGGACATTAAGCTCAAAGACATGCATCCCGAAGAAGTAAGTCATTGATAAATATATACTGTTTGATGATAGCTGTGGAGACAATATCCATGGCTATGATTGGACGGATCAAGTGTTTGTTTTACTACTCTTATGGTGTGATTTTTCCCTCTGCTTTTTGTGCCTCCAATCAACTCATGAAGTCTTTAAACATAAGCATCGGTTAGGCTTTGTTTGCATACCATTTGTGGCTCACTTTCTCTGTCACTAATATCTATCACTCTTTCGCCCTCACAATGGCTTTAAATACTGTACAAAAGGATTACTCCTTTAAATGTGTTGTCTTTAAGATCTGGATTTCTCTCTCACTTAAAGCCAACGTTTGCTTTTGTTATATCAATTTCATTCATATTTGCGATAGAAATAGTCATTCAATGAAACTTAAAACAGATGTTTATATAGTATAAAAAAGAATAAATGTTAATTATATTACTTTAATTGTTATTAAACTCGAAATTAAATATAATACTACTTTTGTAAATTATTATTTTTTATTACAGAGCAATTTTTGTTGCTAATTTTCACAATAAACTTACTATTGTTTTACTTTTAAAGTTTTCTGTACTTTTAAATTTTCTAAATTATATTAACCATTGTTTTTGTATCATGTATACAGTATGAGTGACCAGTATTGTGCGCACATCTATTTATATTATATGTAATAATAGGCTTATGGGACAGAATATGAGACCATTTAGACGGGTGGAGACGCCTAAGTATTACATGTAACCATTCGGGTGGTCAGACAATATCCGGTCACACATACTGTACACAGTGTTATCATAAGAGCGTGTGTTAACAATACCAGTGCCTTCTCTAACTTGAATGTGATGTTTGTTGTCCACACAGTTCTTGGTTCAGGCGATGTATGACTTCCAGCCCCAGGAGCCGGGAGAGTTGGAGTTCAAACGGGGTAACATAATCACTGTAATCGAATTGAATTTTGTCTACAAATATATCATATTTTTTCTTATTTACAATTAATATAATGAAATTAACAATAATTTGAGCTTTAATTTATATTATGATGAAAACATTTAATAATAAAAAATAATGTCTCGTTCTTTTTGTTGCTAATTTTCACAATAAACTTACTATTGTTTTACTTTTAAAGTTTTCTGTACTTTTAAATTTTCCAAATTATATTAACCATTGTTTTTGTATCATGTATACAGTATGAGTGACCAGTATTGTGCGCACATCTATTTATATTATATGTAATAATAGGCTTTTGGGACAGAATATGAGACCATTTAGACGCCTAAGTATTACATGTAACCATTCGGGTGGTCAGACAATACCCCGTCACACATACTGTACACATAGTGTTATGATAAGAGCGTGTGTTAACAATGCCAGTGAACAATGCCTTCTCTAACTTGAATGTGATGTTTGTTGTCCACACAGTTCTTGGTTCAGGCGATGTATGACTTCCAGCCCCAGGAGCCGGGAGAGTTGGAGTTCAAACGGGGTAACATAATCACTGTAATCGACCGCTCGGACCAGAACTGGTGGGAGGGCGAGATCGGCACCCGTCGCGGTTACTTTCCGGCCACTTATGCGCTCCCATATCACGCATGAGACCAAACCATTATATGTCTGTCTGTCTCTCTGTGTGTCCGCGCGCTCTCTGACCGAAATGGACGGACAGTTATTATTCCTTCAGTTTCTCTCTTCTCAACTAATTTTATGTCAAATTATATCATATTTTTATTATTTTTTGTTTCGTTAAATGATTTATATATTACACACGAAAGACGCGATTAATTTCTGAATGAATGGACACATAACTAACATTTATATACAAACACATGGTCTTTACGTGTGTGCTGTTTGGCTCGTCATTTGATTATTATATGATTTCTCTGATTAATAATTGAATAATAAGTCTCTTATTTTTCTCTCTTATCTATCATTTTGATTGAAATTAACGAATTGTTTGATGAAAAATGAAAAGCAAACACAACGACAACGATATGTTCTGTCAATTCTCATCTCAAAGTTATGCCTCATATGTATTGACGCGAACACAGAGTGTTTAACAATTTTTGTTTTGTAAACTGCTCTCTCCCTCATCCCTGTCCTCCCTCTCCCGACTTCCCTCCCCCTCTCCTAATCTCAATTATATGTCTCGCAATTAAAGGCCGAAAACTATTTAATAACTAACAACTGAATTGTGAAAACTTGTAATTAAAGTTTTAATTTTGATTTTCATTATTATTTTTGCGCCGAAAACAAAAAGTATAGCAATTTTATAGCCAAACAAAATCTATTCATTTTATTTTTTATGATGGATAATGAATATGAATGTAATGTTTTCGTCAGTTTATAAATTATATATATATTTAAATGATAACAAAAGCAATGAAATTATGCGAATAGTTTTCAAGTATTTTTTAAGAAACTTATTTTATTTCAAAAAAATTATTTTATTTTTAAAAAAAGTAACACCAAATCAAATATGTTTTTAATTTGTAGATATAAAATGATTTTTTGAAAAAACGACAACAAATGTGTTAATCTTTACATTAATATTTGTCAAATGTTTTTTGAATGATTGCTATGAATACATATACGCGAGAAATTCATAATAAAAAGTTCACGTTTTAAATGATAACTAGTTTTTTGTTATTTGAAAATTAGTTAATTATGATATTTATTACTTTTATTATCGATTGGATTCTTAACTTCACAGGTATTTAATGAGTGTTTTAATTGGGTTTTTGAAAATTAAAGTCACGATTGTTTTGATGGCATTACAAGTCATACGGAAGACACTTGTTATGAAGGGATTCATTGGATTGGTTTCGGTTTATACGAAGCGATGGACTACAGGTGCGGATAATCAACGCCAAGTGTTTTATCAATCCTGAAGATGGAGAGTAAATAGCCGTCAATTTCTTGTGAATGCTTTTCGTATAGGATTTCCATTGAATAGGAATTCAACCCTAAGTTTTGAAAGTAATTTATTCGCATATTTACCACGTATTAGAGCCGATCACCAGCTCATTACGGATCCAATTGGGAGATAATCTTTAAGTTATAATTTGTACGCCATTTGCATTCAAATCTATTAAAAAAACTTTTGACAATTGATTTAGAGATGGGAAGGGATTCTCTGGGGCTCTGCTCTGCGCGCATGTATTGGCCCTCAAAATATCAAACCATTTGAGAGACGAGAATATTATGTATTCTTTCTCTCCCTCTCTCTGCTGTGTCTCTCGTTATGATTACCAGAGAGTGAGAGAAACAGTGCGACCGATAGTGAGTACCAGTCCATCGCCTGGTATATCCTAATCAGTGTGTGTTTGTTACCTACAAATTGTTTTGTCTCCCGTTTCTATGTATAGTATGTGTGAGTGTTAGAGAGTGAAAGAGGGAGTGAAAGAGAGAGAAAAATTAAATATTTGATTCGTTTGAGTTTCAAGAAAAAACTTTTTTTCGTTGATTTACACTAATAATGATGACTTTCCAATGACTTTTCTCTCGCACCAGACGTTTATTCAAATGAAATGTGGATTTATTCCTAACGGATAGTTATTATTATGTTTTAATTAATACGCGAAGAAAAAGTATTATCACAACTCCTATGCTTGAAAAAGTGCTTTTTCTCCAATTAAATAAATTATTTTGTGTTATTATTGTTAGTAAATTGCAAATTGAATCTTTATTTATAAATGAAATTTGTGGTCACAAACAAAACCGATTAAACACATGATTAAGTTTTGTTATATGTTGTGTATATATCTAATCGTTTGCTTGTGATTGAATTATGCAATTAATTATTTTAGGACTTTAAACAAATTGTGCACAAAATAACGAAATCAAACGATAATAATATGTTTTCCCAAACCATCGATAGAAAAAGTGATGCATTGAAAAGTTGTCGCTTTCGCACCACTCGTATAACGAATAGTTTGTTAATTACTTTTCGGCAACATTTTAGCAAAATTATTGTTATTTAAAGTTATATTATTAATAATCAACACAACATTCCCAGTGATTATAACTGTATCCATATATAAATCATCATAAATCTAATAATATATACCCAATAAGTGTGGGGCAGCGGTGAAGGCGGACATATATCCGGGTCATGTTTGCGCCGAAACAGCGCTACCATTACGATGAGACTGCCATCGAAATGGGCTGTATCTCCAAACTAAGCGATACCGCCATCGATAAAATCGGAGGTAATTTTTTTGTCGGTTGTTATACCAAACCATAGATATGTTATCGTTTAGAATATTCTTCGTTACAGAATATTCTTGAATATTTTTTGTATACATGAGTACCACTTGTTTTGTGTGTTAGACATTAAAAAACGTTCAATAATTTTCATACCGCGGATTAATATTTGTTATTCATATTATAATGAGTAAAATATTTAAATGAAATTTGAGTTTTAAATTAAGTTTTAAAGATAAAAGGATGTGAAAAAATCACTACACGTGATAAGTGGTGTGCAATATCTCTGATGTATTAACATTTTTTGAGCCAATAGTTTGAGCCCTTTATATTAATAAATGTCTGTTCACACAATCAGATAAGTTTTTAAATTTATTTTTACGATATATTTCACACTAGAAATGCAAGAATTGCTGAAATATTTGTGAGATATTTAAAGTGTGAGACATGTGTTGATTAAATCAAAGGAAAAACAATTAGAAATGTCTTGTCTTAAGTAAACATTTTGAAACTATCATTACTGTAATAATAATAATATCCTTTATTGGACTACATTAACTAATTTTGGTCTTAAAAACTAAACAATTATTTATAAATAAGTAAAATTCCTATCAAGATAAGTTTATTTACAATTTTTCTAGCAATCACAGACCATTAGGCTCAAATGTGACGATCAGACACTCTAACTCTCTAATATCTACATTATATAACCCCTTTAAATATAGCTCTTCTAAATTAAATACTAAATTTATAAAATTAAAACTATTGTACTATAAATTAGGTTAAAATGATAAATAAATGCAATAGAGGTTAATAGAGTTGAATATTTAAAATGCATTCAACAAAATTCAATGATCGGAAACTATTTTAATATATCAGTGAAAAGTTCGCCGAGAATTTTATTTGAATTTTTTTCATTACTTGATTAATGCATTTTCAATACATGTCTCACAACATAATAGTAGTCTAAAGTTTAGACTAAAAATGCAAAAATTTTTTGTTGTGTGGAAATTATTACCTTAACTACTTGTGTGATCAGATGTTAAATTCAGTCACTAATATAGTTATAGATTAAACAGTAATG